GTCCACAAGATGGACACCAAGACAATCCTCTACCAAGAAGCAGGGCTAGTGGGATGGATCAAGTGAGACTGGCAAAGGTTTCTAGTAATAAAGGATGAAAAAAGAGCTCACTTTTGATACATTACCTACTGGCTAAAGTGCATGCATTAAGACATATGAAGCAACACACAGGTGATGGCAAGGGGTGATCACACACACTTATCCATCCATCCATCCATCCATCCTGTTCTGGTAGAGCAGCAGGCATCAGTGTTCAAGGTATGCCTCTGGGGCACAAATTTCCAGTACAGGTTAGTCTGACGTTTCAAACATGCTGTGATATTTGAGATAAACCATTTTTACAGGGACAAAGTCCAGTCTAGTCCTGTCCAAATGTTTTCCAAAATGCTCTTCCACTAAAGAAATACTTTCCAATAATTTTGTATCTATCTGATGACTAGCGATTAAGCTACACAAGCAATCAGACAACTAAGAGGCAACCTGTGGAATTCTTTTAATCCACAAGATAAAATGGAATTTGCCCTCTGCTCAACTAACTGGTGCATCATTGAATTAATCCCATACAAGCCCCTTGCTGCTTAAATGTACAGTGCAGGTGCAAGGCACATATAACAAATGCAGGCACTGGACTGCAGTACCCTTCGGTATCATTGAAATAAAACGTCCCCTAGACAGTGACACAAATATAGGCTGGCTTTTTGTCCTTCTAATACCATGCAGTTCTCAGACAACCACTCACACCCAAAAGACAGACTCTGCATTTTAACTAGCAATGAGACTTTTTTTAAGCCTTTTCTGACAGTGGATTCTTTAAAATAACATGGCCTGGTTTTTCAATTTATTTTTTGTTAAGTGCTTTTCTCCTGCTCCCAGCTGGTGTTGAGAAGCACCTTTCACATGGATTCAAGAGCAACCTCAATTATCAGTGGCTGCCACACCATTTTCCTCCTCTCTCCCCTGTCCTCTCTACGAGGTAGTTTCATCTCTGTTACTGAGGAACTCACTGACCACCTTGTTCAAAACAAGCACTAGGTAAGTACCAGCGAGAGTGAAACCTATGACATACAGCTCTTCTAAGCACACAAAATAAGCCAGAAGGAAAGAGCATGTTCCCCTCTTCCTCTTTTAGCGCTACAATGTTACAGCAGGCACAGTAACATAATTCCTTTCCCAAGCTGACACCATCCTTTAAGTAACATCTTGTGTGAAATATGACCATTCAGACCTGGGAAAGAACAAAGGTAGCCAACACCTGAACTTATCTGTAGATGGGCTACAACTTGAAGGCACTTTAGTATCGTTTCACTGCTCACTGGGTTACAAGAACATTCCTTCTGCCATAGTTTTTTTTTTATTTTCAAAGGGCAGCTCCTGTTTCTGTTAAGCCTGACTGCCTGTGAATGCAATTAACAGAGTAATATCACCTAATCAACTATCAGATCTTATTAACTGACAGACACAAGAAAAGTCTAACTGCATTCCCACTTTCACCAGGGCACCTCTTAAACTAGATGGCATGTGGCCTCAACATATGCTCCACAAAAAGGGGATCCTGTTTCCCCAAAAGCAGTATCTGTTACAGAGAACTGAATGGAAAAGAAAGAAAAATCATTAGGTCGAGGTCATGTTGACATCGAAATGACAGCATTTAAAATCAGTAAACCTTCCTTACAAGAAAATAGAGGTTTTACTCACCTGTACTACTTCTACTCCTCTTTTCCTGAAAAAAAAGAAAAAAAATAAAACAAGTAAATGTTAGGGCTGAAAACTTGAGGAAAAAGTAAAACCAAAAACTAACAGAAAAGAGTTGCTTCATACTAGAATGCAAACAATATAAATCTGCACTAGTAAATAACCTGATTCAAATTCAGGAAAGCACTTGATCAGTTTTATCCCTTGCCTAGGAAGCACTTTGGCAGCTCCTGAATCATGGACTCAGAAGTGACCCAAGATGCATACTAAGCAGCTGGGACTGACAGGGCTGCCAGTTGAGCACAGGTAGGAAGTGGCCGATACCAGGGAGGGAGCATCTCAATTTTAATTATATCTAGCTTGTTTTTTATTTCTCATCTGCCCTCAAGAGTGTGCAAATGGCACCAAAGCACATTCCACATCTTTTATTTTGATCCAAAGATATGTGTATAAATGTCAGGAAGAATGAACACAGCACCTTGCAGCCATTTATCCTCTCATTTACAACCTTGTTCTACTCCCATCATCTTGATATACAGGATGCTTCCCTGGACTTCAGTTCAAAGACTTGCAGTCAATCTGACTCCTGCAAGAGCAGCATTCAAACACTTGGGGTTTGTCAGAAAGGTCCAAGCCTCTGGCCATAGGGAGAATAGCTCCAGTGATCCTGAATTGCCAGGGATAAGAGACTGGAGAAGCCTATTAATTATACACCAAAATGTATAGAACTGCAATGGGTAGAGCCAATTTAGGCAGATCTGTAGAGACAGCTGTCTACTCTGCAGGTATGAGAACTGAGATTCAGGTACACGCAGCCAGACAACGCTCAGTCACAACCTTTGACAAGTTATCAAGCAAAACAAACCATTTCTGGACTAGTCTTAAGAGCAGAACTGAATCCCTGGCACAGTGCCCAGCCATCCCTACTCCACGCCCTCCTCCCAGTATATGCAGGCTATTTAAATATGTTAGAACCTTCTCCTCACTTTGAAGACAAGAAATTTAACTTAAAAATCAAAAGCCTCATCAAGTACAAGACAGGAATCTTTCTTCCTTGTTCCCACTAGCCCTGTATGTGAAAATCAAAGACCCTTTTTGGGGAGGTCAGAGAACAGGACCGCCTAACTCTGCCCTCAGTGCTTTTCTATCTAAGAGCGTCTGTGTTGTTGTCGATAGTCACAAATGCTGCACACTGCTGAATACACAATGGCTCCCCCAGTTTCCCTCCCAATACAGTAGTTCTTTCTTTTTGGAGGCCATTACAAAGATGCCCAAAGGGACAGGCGATCAATCAGCATCTATGACACAAATTGCTCCCTTTTCCACTTTACCAGTCTGGAGTTTCTCTGGCCTAGAAGCACCATTCACCATGCACAGGCACAGGAGAGAGCTTGTTGTTGCTCAGCAAGGAAATTAAAAAGAAAATGAAACCAAGCACCTCTTGCAAAGAATTTCAGAGTCCTCTTGCAGATAACAGTAGCTGCTAAGTGGTGGGTGATTAATATACTGCCATTACAGTGTGGGAAGCATTGCTGCAGATCATCACCTGAGGCTGGCCAGATGTGTTCCAACTGTGCAGTAAGAAGAAAATATGAATCTTGTAGAGAAAGAGTTAATAGCCAAAGTGTTGAAACCATTATTTTCACAGAGCTAATGAGAAAAATAAGAAAAATTAGGTGAGGAATGCTGTTTCATAAATTAGGGCTGTAGCCTACTCAGAAGCATTCCAAGTATTATAAGTTAAAACTTAAAATAACCGAACCAGCTACATTTTTGCTATGTCTGCCCTGGAGTAAAGTGAACTCAGAACTGCCATTGAAATACACCAGGCTTCAGACAGGTCTGTTCTAGAATCCCTGGAAGAATAGTGGTGAATGGCAAAAGCTGCATTTCTTTTCATGACTGCATACACTTTGAATAAGCTTTATTCTACTTTGAAGAAAAAAAAAAACACTTGCAAGCTGGGTGCCAAATCCACTTGAGAAAGAGTCAGTCCAAAGGTTTTCTGTATTCCCCCTAAAATGTACTTTGTACATTTCCTGGGACTGACTAAAACCAACTATACTGCCCCAGCAGAAGGGAAGAAGCCAGACCAGCCCACAGGCAGAAAGAAGGGGTGCCTGCTCTTAGGTATGATGTCACATGTTTAAAAAGGTACAGGAAGGAGGAAGCAATTACCAAGGCTGGCTTGGTCTTCCCCTTTTTCAGAGGGAGGCAGGATGTCCTTTTGGTTACCTGAAATACGATACTTTTTCTATTGAAACCCAGGGGACCAGAAACCATAGAAGCATGCATATTTTGAGGATTAGTTAATTTGGGGGGAAAAATCCTCTACCAAAATAGCTTTATTCAAAAATAATTTATTTTAAAACCAATAAGTATCCAAACAACCAGGATGTCAACACACATCAGTTCTGGCATTAGCAGATTCTTTGCCTTAAAGATTTCCTAAGCCAGCGACTCCAGGCTTTTTATCCAGGCAGGTCACAGCTGCAGGCTCAGGGCAGCGAGACATCTCTTATGCAACCAAGCATGCAATACCATCTAACCACACTAACTGCCTTACATCACCTGTGAAAGGGCTTAGGGTCAGGCACAGAAAGCAAGCTGATCCCACGCACAAGAAACTCTAGGACCTTCAAAAAAAAAAAGAGTAAACAGAGAGAATGAAGCAGACTGCGGGCCACAAGCAATTCCCCGACAAGGGGCTGCCTGTGTAAGACACTCAATGGACACAAGACAGTTGCTGAATGAACTGCTCTGGAAGCCCGACAGAGCCATGGGCCAGCCACCACTTCTTCCTATTGTGCTTTAAAAAGCCAGCAAGAAAAATTCATCCTACAGTCCTGGTATACGATCTTTCGGGCTGTTTCTTTAGCAAAGGACAGGCAGGGCATGACAGGCAGGGCAGGATGGGATGACTATTTCACTTGGTGTACTGACCACTACCTTTGTGTCCCTCATGGCGTTGTCCATGACCCTTCTTTCTTCTCATGTAGTTTGAAACCGAGCCACTGCCTACCAGGGGAAGGGCTCCCATTCCCAGCTGGTCTGGCTGCCTCCTGACACTGGCAATGGCTATGGAAAAGGCAACAGACTATACGAACCTCACAGCAAGTCTCTCTTTCTGAGGAAAAAAGAAAGATAGTTATTAGCTATATTTCCCTTCTCTCTTCAAAGAGGCAACAGAACTGTGTGAAAGAGAGACTGTGTCTGCACACTTTCATTGAACAGGTATTTGAAAAATTGCCAGTTATAAATTATATTCCTAAAGGTAACTAGTATTAAAATACATTTTGTTCCAAAAATCATTCACAGGGATCTTGTTCTCCAATCATCAGCTTAGGGAATAACATATAAGCAAATTTTAAAAAACCTCTGAGAGAAAAGAGAAGGAAGGAAAAAAATGAATGCGATAAAACTAAACCTAACTTCCAGCAAAGTTTCTCTGTCTTCAAGTGGCATTGTATTCCTAAAGCTACACAGGACCAGGACAAATTACTGACTGGCATTGCATGTTCCCTTCCTTCAGCACACAGCTCTGCTGCATCACACACTGTACCACTGACAGGAAATCCAGAAACAAGTAACTGCTGCATTAGCCTGTGATACTGAATAAAACCCAGAAGCTTGTTCTGACTTATTAGTTCTGTATTCGCAACCAGTGAACAACTCTACTGGATAATGCAAGACTCACTGTACACAATAGCGATTAAAATAATTACCATGCAAGTTGACTTAATCTTTAAGTTGGAATGATGTACAGATTTAGAAAATAATTCAATATCCAGTTACTAAAACCGCATTAATTGGTGTCTTGAAATTGATGTTTTACCACAGCCTCAAACTATGCAGAATAGCTGGGTTTTGGGCTTGGGGCTGGGAGTTTTTTTAACATCCAAAATAAACAGTTTGGACTAATTCCCCACAGCATCTAGGACCTGAACATTATGGTGAATGACAGTTAAAAGAGAAAATGACTATCAGGTTTGTATATCATAGTCATGGTTAAATTAAGCAACTTATTTTTGCTGTCTGGTCTGAGTGACAGACTAAAAATGCCAAATGGAATTCACAATTTCAAAAGTAAAAGGCAATCTTTCTATCTGTTTTAATAGTCTAAGAAGTTATTAGTGCATGCAGTGAAGTTCCTTTTCTCAGACATGAAAATGTTTCACTTCAAAAATTTCCCATGTAAAAAGGGAATAATAATAATAATAGTAATAATAATAATAATAATAATGTATTGCTTTAATATAAAAAATAAAAGCATTTTCACTAAAAAGCAATACATTGGCATCAAAGGGAGTTTATAAATATTAATGCATCAGAGCAAAAACCTGAAGCCACTAAGACTTTCCACACACTGAAATTATCAGACACAGAGAAAGGCACCGGGCAAGCACTACCAAAGCAAAGCATGAAAACCAGCCAGTAGTAGCCAGCCACAACTTTGTGGACAGCCCATTTCTCTTCCTGGCACAAAGGCAAGCTCAGCTCCATTGCCTTAGTTTTTCCATCAGCAGAATATTCTGTATTTTTGTTATTAAATATTTGTGACGATCCTTGCTTTTATTATTTTTCATCACTGATGGTCTCCACCTTATTGTCTATCAGGGAAGCAACCAAGTGGCAAGTCCAACATTGGGGTGCTTGCTCCAGGGGCTCACAGCCACAGCCATCAGTGCACATGGAGTTGCTTGAGGCCATTGGAAACCCAGCAAGACTCAGCTGTAACAGGGGACTTTTTGTGGTTTGGTTTTTTGCACAAAGGTTGTCAAACAAGCAATCAGAGTAATTTTTACCAACCTGTATCCAACTATTATTATACTGCAGCAAGCTTTTCCCCCCGTAATCAGTATTTTGAAAAGATTTATGACTGAAGTGGATCAAAAGTTGGCATTTGGGGGATGGAGTTCTCAATTTTCTCAGTCTGTAAAGCACCACAGATCTAAAGGAGAAGGGAAATAGAGTGCACCTTTACAATCTGGTAGGAACAGATAATGTAGTATGGGGGAGAAAACATCT